GCAGGTGACCGAGCAGGCTCTGCAGCGCCGTGATGTCCTCGCTGCTTTGCGCCATTTGTCCCGCTGGTGCTTTCAGCTACATGACTTTCGTGCCGTGCGTCTCGTGCGTGGTGGGATATGCGTGGGCGACTGGCCGGGCTGCGCCCGCAGTCTAGTGATCATTTGGTGGTTCCCTCGGGGCCCGAGCGACGTCCGCCAACTTCGTGCGGGCGGCGTCATGTTCGACGCCCGCAGCCTGGTCGGCGCGCAGTGGGCGGTCGATGGTTGTGTTATCGGCGTCCCCGAGAACGCCGCCAGCGTCGCCGAGGGTGGTTCGCCGTCTGCCCTGTCGGCAATGCCCGAAGAGGCCGACGGCGACTTTTCCACCATCCAGCAGGGGACGTTGGCAGCTTGGTGGGCAGGGGGTCGAGGGCGCGGGGGATCTGACCCAGGAGCAACAGGAGCTGGAGAGCACCGACCGCCTGCAGATTGTCTACGCTGCCGTCGAGCACGCGGCCGCCAGCATAGGCTGCCGGCCACGCGAGTGGCCCCGGCTCCTGGAGACGCATCGCCAGCGTCAGCACATCCACGCGCAGCGTCACAATTACCTGCGTGGCGCCTCTTGAGACGACTCCGCCAAGCTAGAGGAGAAGGAGGATGAAGGAGAAGAGCACGCGGAGTTTCTCCTGGCCCCGGAGTGCGAGAGGCATGTCTGAGCTGCCACGAGGGCAATTGTTGCCAGGCACCGCGGCCCTGCTCAAGCCGTCAAGACCGCGGTAATTGGGCGCCCGAGCCGGGGAGACGTTCGCTGGCGCGGCAATGCGAGCGCCCCAGCGTCCCAGCTCATCCTGTCCTCAGATGGGGCTTGTCGTCGAGACTGGGCGCGCGTCGCCGCGGGCGTCGAGAAGGCTCCCTGCGGGGCGCGACCTATGCCGAGATGCAGCAGCAGGGCGCAGCACCGCGACAGGTGAACTTCACCCTGCCGCTCAGCAGTGCTGCCATCCTCTGGCCGGTTCCAGGCTGCGAGGCCTTCGACGAGCGGACCGAGTGTTTGCGCTGCATGAAGCCAAGCACGGGCTGCAAGGATGCGCCCAGAGCCTTCTCCATGAAGTTTGCAGGTGTCACGCGCTCGCCCGAGTGCAACGCCGAGCCGATGCGATGTGGCCCTAAGTTCGAAGTCAAACGTGAGGCGTCTGGCTCGTGCGGCACCGGCAGCTCAGAGTTAGCGCTCGCATGCTGTCCCAGCACGTTGGCGATCTCAAGATCGCAGGGGGCAAGGAGCACGTCGACCAATTCATCGGCCACACCGAGAGCGTCTTCGGCAAGATGAAGGGGGACTACGACGACTTCACTGCGGAGTCCACCAGCGCCGCAGTGCCGATGGCACAGTGAGGCTCGACCAGGACGAGCACGTCGATGCGCTTATCCTCATCGGGACGTCGACCTGGTCAAACCGAAGGCCGACGAGCCGCCTGCGCGCTGCTCGCGCAACGCCGCGTTGCCGCCTGCATCGTCGCGAGGCAACGGGCCGAAAACAAGCTGCTCATCACGCGCGCGATGCAGCTCAACTCCGTTGTTCTGGCCCATCAGAAGATTGGGGCGTGCATCGCCTTCCAGGCCATGGAGCTCGCGGGCCAGCTTCGCGCGCGCAGCGACGGCTTGTTCGCGCGCGAGGAGGAGACGGGGTGCGGCATGCGTGGCGCCGTAGACGCGCGTCTGGGCAAGTGCCGCAATATTGATAAACAGATCTGCCTTTTGCTCGACGCCGCGTGCCTGTCGCGCTAGCACGTGTGTCGCTCATTTTTCGGCTCTGAACTGCTCGCAACATGTGGAGCGGCATGCCGCCTACAGGAGTGCCTCCTGGCGCTCCCTGAGAAGGCGCGCGGACCTGCCTGAGCAGATGCGATCAGGGGACTGATGGGGGAGGGGGACTACGCTGTGCCGGCCGAGCTGGCCGCGGACGGCATGTCCGTCTCTTCCGCCTTGGCCATGGACCGCGCGCGGCCGCCGTGTGAGGAAATATGGCGGGCCGCCCGCGGTGGCTAGCGGACCAGCTTTGCAACGAACAGGTCGCCGACGCCCTGTGACGCGACGCCCGCGACACGAGGGCCGACTCCATGACGGAGGGTGGAATCGGCCGGGAACTCGACCCCGACATCATAGAGGGGGAGCTTGCCTACAGGCGCCATACAGTGAGGTTGAGCGAGGAGCGACGCAAGAAGACGGCACTAAACCACCGAAACAGCAACCTCGGCAGGGATAATGGCGACGCTACTGGGCAACCCATTTTGCGTCGCATGTCCGGACTAAGTTCGCGAATGCAACGACCGACGCGCATTTCGCGAGCTGCGTTCGCGAATGCGACGCAGTCCATCACGAAGGAAGAGAGTTGCAGTGCCTCGCAGATCGCGCGCGATGCACGCGAATGCGAGACGGCCAATGAGACGGAACAGAACAACGAAGCGTACCAGTGAGAGGGCTGTCTCCACGGACTGTGTTCGTGGGGGCGGCAGGTGTCGGACGGCGGAGCATGCGCGTGACCGCGCGCTGTATCCGAATATTCTGCCGCAAGGTTTTTTGCATGAAGGGCCCGTTGAGAAGAGAATCCTCAATGCCCAGCTCGATCCCCAGGAGGAACCTGGTCAGCACGAGGTCCTCTCTGCGTAGCACACTCTTTTGTTTCGCTGGCTGAGGTGTGGTTTGCGCATCTGGGCCAGCGAGGCACAGGCACTCGTTGGCGCGCCAAACTCGAGGGGTACCATCTGTCCCTTGCCTCTCATAATCGTATCCCTATTTCCGCAGGCGTTTACTGTTCTGGGGCCCAGGGGCTGTCCCGCCGTGCCCGTGTTATACGCGTTCTATTCACTCCGTGCTATTCTGGCAAAAGAGCCACTCTCTTGTGCCATCCGCCCATGCATCGGTTTCTCGAGTTCCCTGTCATCTCTGCTTCTGCTCTTCGCATGAGCCAACCAGTTCGGCACGCCCGTCACACGTTTCGTCACCCCGTAAGGGCTCCACCGAACACCCAGTGGCCGCGTTCGCATGCGTCCGCGCCAATCAGTACACCGCTTCATGACCTGATAAGCAGCTTCACCGAAAGCCCCAAAGGCAGCGTTGAATGCGTCCGCGCCATCAGTACAGCGCTTCGTCGCCCCACAAGGACCACCACCGACGGCCCCAGTGGCCGCGCTCTCATGCGTCGGCGCCACCCAGTACACTGTTTCGCGGCCCCATCAAGGGGGCCCCACCGAAGGCCCCAGTGGCCGCGTTCGCGTGCCCCCGCGCTATCCAGAACAGTGCGTCGTGGCCCCATAGGGCGCTCCACCGAAGGCCCCATGTGCCGCGTTCGCTTGCGTTTGCGGCCACCAGTGCAGCGCTTCGTGGCCCCCCCGAAAGCCCAGGTGGCCGCGTTCGCATGCGTCCGCGACACCCAGTACACCATGTCGTGGCCCCATTGGGAACTCCACCGGGACTCCACTTGCCGCGTTCGCCTGCGTCCGCACCACCCAGTACAGCGCCCCGTGGCCCCATAGGGAACTCCACCGACGGCCCCAGAGGCCGAGTGTACAGCGCTGCTTGGTCCCATGAGGAGCTCCACCGAAGGCGCCAGAGGCCGCGTTCGCATGCGCCCCCCCACCCATTACGGCCCACTTCTCATGCGTTTCGTGACCCCATAACGAGTTTCACCGAAAGCGGTACCCACAGGTATCCACAGCTTCATATGGTTGGGTTTTCCGCATGGATCGTCTCTGTTGTCCGATTTCGGTCTATGGTTCCTGATGTCGGGCCACTGAATGTCAGAGAGAAGCTTTCGCCTTCGTGTCGCGCGCGTTCGTTCTAAGCTGCCCCATCAACTTCAAGGATGAAAGTCGTTGGTTTTCCACATGCGGCTCGCGCTTCAGCGCCGCGCATACTTGTTTGGTGAGTCTCCCAACAGCAGCAATGATCAAGGCGGGTTCGTTTTCAATATGCGGCTCTTGCTGTCAAGTCGTGAAGCGGTTGTACGAATGAAGGGCGGTTCTCATAATGTTTCTCTCGATTGCGGCCTCGCTATATTTTCTGACCAGTAGTCTCAACGGGTACAGCAAGCCAGCGGATGGAGCGCGTTTCCCTCTTCCAAGTGAACGACGCAACAACAAACGGAGTCGTTTGCTCCGACATTCGCACTTAAGTTGCCGGCGTCATGTCGCGCGTAAGCGCCCTCGTCTCCAATGTGGCGTACCGCGCCGGCGGCCCGCGGCAGCCACCGCGTAAGGTCGCTATATCATCTCGCGTGAGACCCGATTTTTTCATCGTCGGTCAAGTGGGACTTTCGCTGTGCATTCCGCGGAGCTTTTCGGCCCTGCCTTGCCACACTCCTTGTGGCTCGAAGGATGGTCCTCCTCCGCCTCCTCCTTCTCCTCCTCCGCATCCTACTCCTCCGCCTCCTCCTCTTCCTCCTCCTCCTCCTCCTTCCCCTCCTCCTCCCCCTCCCCACTTCCTGCTCCTCCTCCTCCTCCTCCTCCTCATCATCATCCTCCTCCTCCCCCTCCCCCGCCTCCTCCTCCTCCTCCTCCTCCTCCTCTTCCTCCTCCTCCTTCTCCTGGCCGGTGTCTATCGCAACGGAGTTCCCGCCGGAAGTGCGGGGTCATGGTGCACTCGTCTTTGAAGGGGGGGCGTTTCGCGCAGTGACGAAGAATGATTGCAGGGACCAACGAGGAGGGGACTTGACACTGGAGGGTGGATGCATCTTGGGTTTACTCTGGCCTCTTTTTCCTTCTTCTCCACTATTGGGTACCGCCGATCTTTGGCGTCGCCCCATGGTCTTAAACCTCCGAGGTTGGGTACCCTTTTGCGCTTGCAAGCGGGTCAGAATTGAGCTCGACTGTCATCCCCTTCCTTTCCCCCATCCCCCTCCCCCGCCTCCTCCTCCGCTTCCTCCTCGTCGTCCTGCTCCTCCTGCTCCTCCTGCTCCTCCTCCTCCTCCTCCTCCTAATTCCTCCTCCTCCTCCTCCTCCTCCTCCTCCTCCTCCTCCTCCTGTAGCTGTTTTGACTCTGGCTGTTTTTCGATCCTGCCCGCTGGCTTGCACGGGTTGGCGTCGGCCTCCGTAATCTTCCAGGCACCGTACAGACTTCCGCTGCGGTGGCAATGGCGGCACGGGCGCTGCTGCTGGGGTTCCTGCTCCTCCCCTGCTGCTCTGGTATCACCTCCGTGCGCTCCCAGTGGCAGGACCAGCTTGGGCTCGCCGCACGCACGCACGCGCCAGCGGACTGCGAGGACTGATGGGCCTTTTTTCCACCACCACCACCACCGGGGAAGGAGGTGGAGGACGAGGAGGAGGAGGAGGAGGAGGAGGAGGAGGAGGAGGAGGAGGAGGATCCCTTTCCCCTCCAACTTATGGTGGTGGTGGTGGAAAATAGGCCCACCGAGGACGCGTCTCCGGGCGACAAGTGCCACAGCGCCGTCCTCTGGGCCCTGACGGTGGGCCTCGCGACGCACCCGGAGTGGTACGCGGGCTTCGAGCCCTCGACGGGCTTGGGGCACATATCGGGAAGGAGAGACAGCTGCACTGGCATAGCCTTGTTGGGGATTCGCGCGGGTTTCGCAGATCGGCGCTGGATCCCTCTCCCTGATGGCGCGAAGCGCGCCAGGGGCGGCGCTTCAAGTGCCGACAGGGGTGTCCAGCGTCGATCCGAGAAATCCGCGCGGACCTCTCAAGGTTTACATATGTCTATGCCGTTCTTTATCTCTCCCACATCGGAGGAGCTGAACTTCCCAGGTGGGGCGAAAGGGGGGATCGAGAGAGGGGGCCACGGAAGTTCTGCATGCAGCTCGTTTTGGCTCGCCGCTGGCCGCCTGCCTCGATGTACACTGGCGCCCCCGGCGCCGGGAGGCGCCAGGCAAATCAGCAACGTGAGCGGACTCACTGCATGTTTTCCACAGCGTGGGTCCCCCGAGGCTTCGACCCGTTCCCTGGACCGGCTTCTTCGGGAGAGGGCCGGCGGAGTCCGAGAGCTGGCAGAAGCATCCCGTCGCGCTTTTCACGACGCGGGGGGGTCTCCGAGGAGCGAGAAGATGGTGATGATGATGCTGCTGCCGATAATGATGATGCTGATGATGATGATGATGCTGATGATGATGATGATGATGATGTTGCTGATGATGATTATGATGATGATGATGATGATGATGATGATGGTGATGATGATGAGGATGATGATGGTGGTGTTATTGGTGGTGGTGGTGACGATGATGGTGATGATGATGATGATGATGATGCTGAGGAAGATGATGATGATGATGATGATGAGCATGGTGATGGTGATGTTGATGATGATGATGATGATGATGATGATCATCATCATGATGATCATCATCATCATCATCATCAGCAGCATTAACGTAAATGTTCGCAACTCCGCGCGTGTTTATACATGTTTCTGTTCCTCTAGGTCTGGATTGCTATCCCTCCCCCTTACAGGGTCCATTTCGATCCGATCGATCCGATTCGATGTCGGTTTTGGCCGGCCCGATCCGATTCGATTCCGAAGCTCCGACAATGCGATGCGGCCCGATGCTTGCACGGCGCTGGTGTGCATCCTGGTGCAGCCGATCCGATTCGATCCCGATCCCGTGCCGATGCAGCCCGATCCGATCCGATCCGATTTCCCGATTCGACGCTGATTGATCCTGCCCTTGTTGCAGTGTCATGTCTTTTTCGCAGCGTCGTCCCTGTCAACAGCCGTCTCGACCCGTTCCCCGGGATCCGTTTTTCATCCCGGGTCGTGTTTGACAGTCCCAGGGCTCGGCGAGTGGCCCCCCCGGAGGCCGAAAATGTACAACAGTTGCCCGCCATGATTTTTGTTCACGGCTCGGAGGGTCTGGGCCTGGTTTTGCCACACCCGCCCTTCTTTCCCTTGCATTTCATGGCCCGCTCGCGCGGTGCTTACAGTGGAGACCCATGCCAAGAAGCACACCGCTTGCCTCCAGGGTGCCCTGGGTTTCTTGGGTTTCGATGAATTTGCGATGGAAAGCGTGACGTTCCCACACCAAAAACCTATGGACGTCCTGGGGTCTCGGGGTTGGGTTTCTTGTGGAAGGTTTCTTTTGGTCGGGCCCCTATTGGATTCATGTGCGTACGGTAGGTTCATGCGGCGTTGGCGCGCCAGCAACGCTGGCGAAGGCGTTCAAGGTTGAATTCTGCGATGCGGAAGCACCGATGGACACGGTAACGCCAGTGGACCCGACCGAGTTTAACCTGGAACGATCGGGGCCGCGATCGATTCAAGGTTGAACGACCGACGCGGTGTCAAAAACGTTTGCGCGCGCCGACGCTGCGCGAACCTATCGTTCTTACAGTCAACCCGCATGGTAAGGATGAGCGACTTTCCAAGGTTACCTTTGCGTCCTTGCCCCTTCAGCCCATCCTTGGTAACTGTCGCTTGCCAGCCTCGTGCGAACAACGTCAACATGGCCCTCCAAGGCCCTGGCATCCTTACTGCGCATCCTTATCGTGGTCGAGCATATGATCAAGAAACCTCCCCCCCGAAAAGTTGGACCAGCGGTTCTTCACCAACTTGCTGGAAGCTGGCACAGTTTCTTGAGCACGTTCGCCCACTCCGGCGTGAGCAGCAGAATGTTGCCCAGGCTTTTTCCCGAATTTTCCGGGAAACTGGCCTAGATTTCTTGAATTATGTGGTTTTGGATTGCTGTATCGGGGTTGATTGTATTCATGTGCATACTTCCAAAGAGAGGGAAAACAACCCGGACCCGATAATTGGCGTTTGCTAAATGGCCCTGGGCGTTTACTCAACAGCCCTGCCCTGTTCGATTCCTTCTTTGGGTGCGTTTGCTAAGCGGCCTCGCTAGTCGGGGTGGTGATTACGGGGGTGGATTATTTGCCCTCTATCTTCGGCGGCCACGTCCTTTTGCGGCTCCACCCCCCTCTCGCCCGACCAGAGCCTCAAGCAGATCCAGGCGAGCCTCCACGCCCGCGGCAAGGCGGGCTGCGGCCAGCCCTGCCCGCGGGGCGTTTGGCGCCGCCGCACCACCACCACGGCCGCACCACCACCCCCGGCGCCCCCGGCGGCGCCGGCCCCGGAGGCCGTCGGGAGCTTTAAGACGGGGTCAACCCAGCACCCCTCGAGTCACGCAAAAAATGCTACGCGAGGTTTGTCGTTGTTTTCGGCCTGGGGTCCCCCACCGGGCCTCGGCACCGTCACAAAACGGCTCGGGATGAAGAGCCGGTCCCATAGTTAGTCTCCACTCTCCTCCTCCCTCCTCGTCTGCCCCACAGAAAACCCATTTCCCAAATCCAGATTTCCCTCCTCCCGCTAAATTGTGTGGCAGTTTTTTTTTCTGATGAGCACGTCCAAATCCTTAGATCGAGCGGCAGCGCAACCGTGACTCGCTAGGATGTTCACTCCAGGAGCAACCGCTTGTCTGTAAGGGCCGTGAAGGGGGATTGGGAAGGGGGATAGGAGTAGCTGGCCCCCTCCCAAGAAAGCCGCCCCAGAAAAAGGATTAGGGTTTTCTCCGCTGCTCCGAATTCACTGCCCGCCTGAGCGACCAGCACCGTTGCAGCGCACAGCCGCAGAAGGCGCGAGGCAGCCCCCCCCCTCAGCGGGGGGCGCGCTGCAGCGACGCGCATCACTGTATACTTCTCTCAGGCGTTCCCGATGTGTCGGCCGAGATTTCAGTGTCGGTCGGGGTGGCGGAGATGCCAGCGTGGTTTAATTCATTGCAGCCTGCCTCGAACTTTCAGAGGCTTTCATCGCTCCCATGTCGTCGTAAAAGAACGGGTCCCGGGGAATGGGTCAAGACCTTTGGGGGTCGATGTCATGAAATTGTCATGGCGTCGGGGTTCTGGGAATGCAGACGGGGGTCAGTTTGAGCGCTGGATCTTGCAGGATCCAGCAATCCCAGACCCCTAGCTTTTTCATTTTTCATGACGTCGACCCCCAGGGGTCTCAACCCATTCCCTGGGACTGGTTTTTCATCCTGCGTCGTTTTTCGACGGTCCCGCGGCCCAGTGAGGGCCCCCAGTGGCCGAAAACAACGAACAACCTCGCGTCGTGTTTTTTTCATGACTCGAGAGGGTCTGGGGAGCCAGCGGTGCACTGACCTGGGCTGGGGTGCAGGATCTCTTGCAGGATCCTGCCGGATCTTGCAAGATCCTGCGAGGCCCGACTGGCCCGGGCGTGGATTGCCCTGGGTCGGTGGGTCCCCGGGAGTTACTCCCCGAGCTTGCCTCTGTAGGGGCACTTAGGTCTGTAGCCCTATAGCCACATAGTTTTACAGCCCCAATAGGCCTAGCAGACCTAATAGACCTCATAGACCTTCGAAAGTATGACGGTAGTGTCTTCGCCTCTGCCGTCGTCGTCCAAGAGGTGCAACATCAAATTATGCTCTGGTGAAGCAACAAAGACTCGGATGGTTTTTCTGTAGCATCATGATGTGCCAACCTGCGTTAGCCTGGACCACCAGACAGAATTTCGGGCACCAAGAAAGTACCGAAACTGGAGGCCTTCCACGTGTCGGGCCCCGGGAGGCGATAGTCGTCTGGCACCGTTTCCATACGGTCCGGGGCGCTCGAGCTCGTGCCTGGGATGTGGCCCTTAAGTTCGATTGGACGTAAGAGTGACCTTTCGCCGGAATGACCTTTGGTGCGGGCCCATTGGGGCCCCCCGACCGCCGAACGCGATACGACAGTAGCGTCTTGCGCGATTGGATTGGGCCCCACCGCGGCCCCCCAAAAACCGCGCACCAAAGGTCAAAAATAGTCAGGGGCCGATTTCTCTATCATTTTGGGGGTATTTTGGTTTGTTCGATTTTTGTTTGGTTGGTAGTTTGGATTGTTTCATTTTATTTGCGCGCGTAGCCGATACGCGTACGATGGGAGCAGTATGGCCCCGGAGGCCGCCCCCCCTCGGGGCAGGAGCGGCGCAGTCCCCTGAGATCCTCGCTCGCGGGGGCGCCTCTTGGTGTGCGGCCCCGCGGCGCGGCGCGCGGCCGAGCCGTGCCCGCGTGCGCCTCGCGTGGCTTCCTTGGGGACCCCGCCGCGCACGGCGCGCCCCGCGCCCTTGGCCAGCCCGCGCGCGGCGCACCTGGTGCGAAGTCGGGCCTGTCCCTCTGCAGGAGGAGGGCTCAAGACCAGTCAAAAATAGTCTGGGGCCGGTTTTTCGATCATTTTGGGGCTATTTTGTTCTTGATCGATTTTTTATTTTTCATCCAATCTCCGCCTGTAGGAGGACATCTGACCTAAGCCTGGTGCGCTTCGCGCGCCGGACGCACGAGGCAAGCTCGAGGCGGACTACGCAGCGCGCCCGCAACAGGCGATTTTCGGGCGGGGCCGGGGCGAGGATGAATCCGTTCCAGAAGGTTCCGGAACGCTCTGAGAGCGCTCCAGAACGCTCGTGAGAAGGCCGCGGCGCCCGAGGCATCCTCCCGAGCCGCCAGATTTCAGAGATTCTCGATGCACCTTCACCAGAATCGATTCTCCTCGTCCTGGTTTCGTTTCAAATTTCGCCCAGTTTCGAAGCCCGGGGCCGTCACAGATCGATGCGGCGCGAAGAGTGCCGCAGAGCGATTGGGTCTGGGGCTCCAGGAGTGGTGTTTCGCTGCGGCATTTTTTCGCAGCGTTGGATCTCAGGGTTCGAACAGGGAACAGAAACATCTGCACAAGCATACTTTTGAGTCGGGCCTGTCCCTCCACAGGGGGGATGCTCCCAAATAGAAAAACAATGGTCGGGTGACGATCCTTTTACTACTACTTTTGCGCATTTGGGGCGTATTTCTGTTGTTGCTTTTCCTACTCTCTCGCCCAGCACCCCCCTCTGGCGGGACAGGCCCGACCTGAGCACGCTTTTGTCCGAGGCCCGCGCGGCCGTCTTGGATCTCGGCGCGTGGCCTGCCCGGCGGGGCCTCCGGCGCCGCCCTCGGCTCCGCGCGGGGCCCCGGGGGCAGCGCCTCCGGCGCCCCCCTCGGGGAAGAGCCGCAATGTTCTAAAAACATTTCGAGCAAACCACAACAGGTTAGCAGAACCTTCTTCGGTGGGCCTATAGGCAGCCCAAGACGCTTCGCCACTGCTTGATACTATGCTGCAGCTGCCATCGGCACGGACGAAATACAGTCAAGACGCTGCAACAAGGAACAGCTTGGGTTCGGAAGGGGCTCGATGTTCCTCAGGTTCCTCCAGTGCTGCTCCTCTTGCCCACCTGGGGCACGGAGGCGCTTTTAGGGCCACAAAAGGCAAGGGCTCCCACGAGGGCGCGAAGTTATTCGCGCTTCGCGCTTCGCGGTCCTCGTTCTTTCTCCCCCCTCCTCCTCGTCCTCCTTTTCTCCCTTTGGGGGGGCGGCGCGAGGGCGCGAAGCTATTCGCGCTTCGCGCTTCGCGGAGCGCGAAGCGCGAAGTTGGGAGCCCTAGCGCTAGCGTTCCTTCTTTCAGCGGCCCGACTGTATGTGGGGCGTTTCACGGAAGGGGCCCGGCCGTCGAGGGCAGAAAGAGCTGCTCTCTCTTCCGTCTCTTCCGCGGCGGGAGGGCGGCGGAGGGCCGGCGGCAAGTAGAAGGCGAGGCCGGCCCTCCGCCGGCGGAGGGCGGCGGCTCGGCGGAGGGCGGCGGGGGCAAACGGGATGTGCCCCCGAGAGGTGCGGGGTGCGCACAGACAGCCTCCCCCCCCCCCCCCCCCGAAGGCAGTCCTGGCTGGCCTCGACTCGGGAGGACAGTTACCGTGCTGGGACGAAGAGGTTGGGAGGGTGAAGGGTCTGAGCACTAGCATCTTGATGCACTGAACGGAGTCTTCGGCCGCCTGCGGGTACGGTAGGTTCGCGTCGTGTCGACCAGCGGCGACCCCAGCGCGGGCGTTCAAGGTTGAACGCCGCCAGCGGCCCAAAATCGGTCGACATTGAACGATCGGACGTTTGGTAAACTACCGATCGTTCAAGGCTGAACGCTTCCCGCGGTGTCAGACACCAACGCTGGGGTCGACACGACACGAACCCGCGGTAATTCAGGATATCATCATTCCTCTCAACGCCGTCCTCCCAACCCGACCTTCCTGATCAACAGGCGCCCCAAGTATAGTCCTGGACATCCGCCGATCTGATTTTTCCTATCAGAGATCAAACGAATTGACAAACGGAGGCTTCTCGTATTTTTCTTGGCCTCTATAAGGGGCCCTCGCCGGGCCCCGGGACCGTCTCAAAACGACTCAGGATGAAAAACCGGTCCTGGGTCGAGACTTTCGGGGACCCCGTATTGTCGGATCTCTGGGGCAGTTTGTGCAATCGCTCGTGCTGCATCGTGCTGGGTGGGGACAGGATGCGTTGCGTGTGGCACTGCTGTTCCGAGAGAGAGAGAGAGAGGCCACGTCCCAGACGCCACAGGATTAACTATTGCACATGTTTCTGCGACCCCATGAGGACAGACCCCCTTTGCCCGGAAGCAACGGAGGGCCCTCCCCTCATCGGACAGCGCCACGGGGGTCGAAGAAGAAAAAGCGGCATAAACATACCCTTTCGGCGCTCCGCGCGGATTTCTTGGATCCGCGCTGGCCCCCCGCGGGGGCGCGCCTCCGGCGCCGCCCCTGGCACGCTCCGCGCGCCAGGGAGGGGGGCCCAGCGCAGATTCAAGACATCCGCGCGGAGCGCCGAAAGTTTATGTTTATGCTGTTTTGTCTTCCTCTCGCCACTGTAGGTTCGGGGGCGGCCAAGAGGGGGGTGATGACTAGCGGGGGGTGGATATCATGGCATGGGCCATGAGATCTCCCCAGATGTTATGGCGCCTCTGCTTGTTTCAATGCGTCCCTGGCCCCACGCCGCCGGCCATGATTTGCGCCCCCCCCTCGTGCACACCCCCCTCTTGGACGCCCCCAATAATCCCAATAGGCTTGGCATCGCTCGGACGTGTGCGTCTTTCGTGGGCAAGACTCATCCAGGAGCATTTTGGCTCACCTTGCGAAAAAATGCACGCACGAGGAGGAGGAGGAGGAGGAGGAGGAGGAGGAGGAGGAGGAGGAGGAGGAGGAGGAGGAGGAGGAGGACGATGAGGAGCAGGAGGAGGAGGAGGAGGAGGAGGAGGAGGAGGAGGAGGAGGAGCCGTTCTGGCTCCTAAGTCTTCGGACGAGGAGCTTGCAACAGCGAGCTTCAGAACGGCATTGCTGTTGCGGGCCAAATTGGTTCGGCCATTTCGTGTGAGCTCCTGGTGGAGCACCAGTTTCTGCCGTCGGCATCTTCATGGGGCGCGATGGCACAGGCTGGAAGAAGTGGGGCGAGAAGCAGTGGAAGGACTGGGCCAACTGGTCCGATCCCAAGTTCAAGTGGAAGTGCGTGTCTTGTGGATGCGCAAAAAACGATGGATGGATGCAGTGGTGCAAGCACTGCAGCACGGCCAGGAAAGAAGTCATGGCAGCGGAGTACGGCAAGCCTCCAGGGGTCTGGGCTGAGCACCAAGGGCATTTGTTTCCCGCTGCTGATGTACGTCCTGTCGGTCTGCAGTTGCGGCAGTCGGGATGGCTTGGAGCTGCTCTGCCTGCCACCAAGTACACGACTGACCAACTGCCGTCGCTGCGCGCCCTCCAGCGGTCCATGTCGGAGCTGGGGGATGTCACAGGGGCGGCTCGCTACCAGCAGGCCGTCGAGGAGCTGGAGAAG